GGCTGCAGGCAGGGCCGGGCCAGGGGCAGGGGGCAGGGGGCCGGGAGCCGGGGTGGGGTGAGGACAGGATGGGGCAGAGCCCGGCTTCAGGTGAGAGGGCGGCAATGGCTTCTAAAGTCCAGGGCCCTCGCGCCCGCCCACGGCCACCATGGCAGCTGGAAGAGAAAGCAGAGGAGAGCGTGGTGAACCCGGAGGTTGCGGCTCCTGGCCTGCTGGGACCTGCAGGGGCAGCACAGCGGCTCCGGCCAGGCACCAAGGCTGTGGAGCACACGCTCTGGCTCTGACGCCTTCCAGAACACCTGCTCAGTCCCCTGCCTGTCCACCCCAACTAGGGTGTCCACCTGCAGAGCAGGGGTCCAGCCAGGGAAATGGCGTCCCTCTTCCTCCACCCGCACTGATTAGGGAGGGTGAGCACGCAGCCCAGGCCTCTTGGCTGCCCAACTGGCCAGGTCCTGGCATGGTTCCTATGGCTCTGCTCACGGCCCTCTGGATACCACCAAGAGAAGAGGATGCCCTCTCTGCCCTCTCCTCTGTCCTCTGCCCCTCCCTCAATGACCTTCCTCCTGCCTGGGAAGAATCTGCCAACCAACAGGCAGAGAACAGAGGACAGAGGTCATTTTGACCATCTCCACTCAGCAGACCTCGGCCTTGTCTGCAGGCCCGAGTGGCAGCACTGCAGACCCCACAGCGGGAGGCACAGGGCGTGGACGTGAGGGGTCTGACTGGTGCCGTCTGCAATTGCCAGCTGTCTGCTCTGCTGGTTCAGCCCTGTGCCCATGCATGCTCCTGCAGGAAGACCCTCATGCCCTTCATCTCCAGACACAGGACCTAGGGAGGAACAGAGGGACAATGGCCGCCTTGCCACTCCCCCCCAACGCCGTGAGGCTGCACCATGACAAAGACCCCAGGTTCAGAGACAGGCCTAAGCAGCTTCCTCAAGCTGCAGGGAAGGAGGAAAGAGCCACAGCAGAGCCTGGACAGACTCCCAGCACAGGAGAGGGCCCGGCTGCACCACTGCCCACATTACAGTGAACAGCAAGCTAGGCACTGCCCAACCCAGATCCATCCAGGCAAGGTCCTTCACTGGCCAACCTCAGTTTCCCACATCCATTCCACCCATCAGCTGAGCCAGTAGGGGAGGGAGGGGGTCATGGTCAGTCCCCTCCCCTCTGAGCCCACTTGGCTTCGCCTCTACTCTGCTGACCCCTGCAAAGGAGGGGTGTGCTGCTTCCTGCTGCTTCCTGCTGCCTGAGCCCAGTTGGCCAGGGACACAAGGTCATCACGGCTCTTCATCCCCTCCTAGTCCTTCTGCAGTGGCCTCCCAAGCACAGCAGGGAGCGCCCAGGTCCACCCATTGAGATTCTGAGCCCCCAGCAGGGATGCTTGAGGCTGGACAATCCTCTGGGCAAGCCCTCACATGGGGCCTCAGTTTGCTCCTCTGCGAGAGAGAGAGGTCCTCACGGCTCTCAGCAAGAAGGTAAGAGCAGCCAAGCACAGGAAGTGACATCCACAGGGAGAGGAAGCCTGAGGCCTCTGGGTCACCTGGGGCAGCTCCGGCCCAGCAGGCCCTGTCGGTGGTCCTTGAGGAGGACAGACCTGCACTGCGCGCTTCTCAGCCTGCTGGCCTCCGCACATCTGGCAACTCACCGGGTCCCCACTCCCAAAGCCCATCCGCCAGCCTGCCCTACCCACCCTGAGGGGAGGCCCTGGTCAGCCTGCAGAGCCCTCCCACCCTCTCCCCTATCTGTGAAGCTGGAGAGGCCACAGCCGGAGTCCCACAGCCAGCCTCGTCCCCTGTCCCCCATTCCCAACCTTATATAGCTGCCAGCCTTCACCTGAGCCCCACCCAGGGACTGACGCTCCCCTAATGCCCAGTGAGAATCAGGGACCAGCCCCGGCCCCAGCCCCTGGGGGAATGTCAGCAAAGCCAGATGGGAAGACCCAGCCCGGCCCAGCACTGCCCCCTCGTGCCTCTGCGGCTCCACCACAGGTCCACCTCACTCTGCCCCCACTTGCGGTGCAAGGAGGCACAGGCAAGCCTGTTAGTCCTGACCCCCAGTCAGGGTGACCCCAAACCCACTGCATTCTGCCTGGCAGGGGGCCTTGCACAGCCGGGCATGTCAGTGCCGGCCTGGGGCCTCTCCCCACAGCCTCCATGGAAGGCTGTGTCTGGGAGGCACAGTGGGGTTGGGAGAGCAGAGCAGACACAGAGCCAGATGCACGAATCCCCGTCTCCACAGGCCGGTGACCAGGCACAGGGCCCTCGGGCCTCCCATACCCTGGGTGAAGAATGGTTGCAGCCTGGAGCAGGTGCTCAGCCTTACAGCCTGGCCATGAGGTGCTGGGCAGGAGGGGCTGGTGACCTTGATCCTTGAGGGCATAGCTGGGTGGGAAGACACGGAAGGACGCACCTCAGGTGCCTGCCGTCCGTGACAGCAATCCCAGGGTTCCGCTGCAGATCCCGCTTACAGATCCCGCTTACACACTAGTCCTCTTTCAGCGGAGCCACACCATGTCCTCTCCCTGTCACTGTCCCAGGACCTGCAAGAGCTGGTTGCGCCTAGGCCCTCCTGCACCCCTGCTGGCCAGTCCCACGTCATGGGCCACCCCGTCCTCTGAGCACCATCGGGGGTATGAGGCCCCCTCAGTGTGGGAGAGGTCCTTTAAAAGGACCCCCTGGCAGCCCTGGGTTTACCTGTAGGGATGTCAGGGACTGGGGGGACAGGAGTGGCCTAGGGAAGGAGGCTGCAGGGATAGGCCCCAGAGCCAGCTGGAGGTAGAGGGCATGGAGGGACGCTCCTGGGCGCAGTGGAGTTGGATATCTGCTCTGCACTAGAGGACCCGCTGTCTGGAGGGGACGAAGGAGAGCAGGAGGAAGGGGCCACAGGAAAGGCCCTCGCTGAGGCAGGGAGGTGGAGGAGCAGAAGTGTGCCCATGTGTGCCTGTGGGCACGAGGGCATGAGCACACGTCTGGGTGTGTCCCTGGTGTGTGCCACACACGTGTGCCTCTGCGGGTCACAGGGCAAGAGGAAAACCTGGGCACTGCTGATTGCTCATTGGGGGGTCCAGGTGCAGCTGGACCAGAGAGGCAGCCTGGGCAGCAGGAACCTGCCCTCAGCAGCCTCAGCGTGCCCGGCTCTCCTCCCCAGGGCCCAGCAGCACCCCATCCTGAGCTAGTCCACACTGACAGACGGACCTGGGCCCGGGCACTGCATCCCCTCCCCACCCACCCTGGACGGCCAATGGCGTCCCCAGACACCAGCCACAAAAGGCACTCTGTAGTCCTGCGGCTTCCGAACAGTGCCCGCCTGTGTCCTGAGAAGGCTGCGCTGGGGGAGGGGCAGGCGCCCTCAGCTCCGAGGGCTGTCCAGGGGGGTAGGAGGCGGGTGGGCGGCCCTCCCTGCTCAGGGTGCCCATGCATTCCTGTGGGCTTCTGGGCCTCCAATGGCCCAGCAGCTGGTCTCTGGAGGCCTGTGGGTCCTTGTAGGCCCTCTGACATGAGCCCAGGCAACCTGTGTGTGTATCTCAGGGCCCAGAGCCATGAGAAGAGGCCAGAGGTCTAGGACAGGCCTCCCTCAGGGGCAACAGACCAAGGACTGGGTGCTCGGACAGCCTGCCTCCCCAGCGCCCAGGCGCCAGACCCATCTGCCCACCTTGGCCTGGGCAGACCTACAGGACAGCCAGCCTGCGTCAGCAGCACCCAGCTGTACTCTACCCCAGAGGGCAGGGTGGGGGCCAGACCAGTGAGGCATCTCCACTGGGGGACGGGGGTGCCAGGAGGCTTCCCAGAGCAGCCCAGCATGCTCACCATGCCTGCCAGGCCTGGCCTCGCAGTAGGCCACCTTCCTCTGTCCACCGCCTGCCTGGGCACAGGGACCACCCAGGGGACCTGGCTGGAAGCCAGGGTGAGCTTGCCAGGAAGACAGAAAAGCACGGACAGAACATGGGCCACTCTGGGGGTGCACAGCGGGGCCTGGGCGAGACTCTCTCAAGGCACCATAATCCCGGTGCAGGCCTTCAACCAACCCCACCCACAGAGGGCCACCAGCTGCCACCTCCACCAGTCACGGAAACAAGCCCAGAGAGGCTGAGCATCTCCCCCAGGTAGTCCTGGAGGGAGAGAGAGGCCCCATCACCCTACAGCCCACTCCATCACCCATGACACCTGGGCCCCAGGTCGGGCAAGGCCAGGCCTCCTGCACCACATGAGCTTCCTGCAGGCCCAGCCTCCAAGGCCTTTGCCCACACCTCACCCTCACCCTGATGCAGGTCCCTGCATATCCTAGGGCAGGTCTAAAATGAGAGGAAGGAAAGTCCTGTCACATAAGAGTGACACAGCTGTGTGTGTGCACATGCTCTTGTGCAGGTTTGTGTGTGTGAGAGCAAGTGGCTGGTGTGTAGGTGTGCCAGTGAAGCTGTGCATGAGGCTATGGTGTGCCAGGGGCAAGGGCATGGGCTGTGTATACATGTGCACATGCTGCAGGGGACAGGAAGACCATCTCATTACCCTGGGCCAGACACTGGGAAGAGTCCCTAGGGTTGGGGACTGGGAGCAACACAGAGGCAGGGGAGGGTGCCAGAGTCAGAATCTGCTCCTTGCCATGTTGGTTTGGCGTCACGCCCACATGCCTTTCCCTGGGCAGGCATTGCCAAGCCTTGCCCTCTAGAGCCACCAGGTAGGTCTCTGACAGGGGGGTGGTCTGCAATCTCAGACCAGTAGGCAGGAACATCCTACCTCCCATCACAGCAAGGAGAGCTGAGTCTCAGCAGCAAGGCGGCCGGTGCAAAGTCACCAGCCAACAAGC